CAGTGTCTAGTGGCACATGCATAGTTACATGAAGTGTTCATATATTTGGCTTATTTTAGAAGTTTTTCAATTGTATATTCAATATTCTGCTCTTGCTGACACTATGTACTGTGCTGTTGCTCAGCATTATTGCATTACTACATTGGCACAGATCAGTCAAAACTAGGAGTATTATAAAGTTAACTCATAATCTTCATTTCCCATCAAGTATTACTCAGTAAAAAGTCTGTGTACATTCTCTAACTCAGCCATAGTACTCCTGTAGACAGTCTGATGAAGCTGATTTAGAAAAAACAGCATGTTGAGTGTTAGCCTCTTGAAAGCCATTGCCATTGTCATGGCTATTGATTTCAAACAGGAATTCTCTGATATATTTTTTCCACTGTTGCTGTTGCTAGTAGTGGAGTAGCAAACACCACCAAAGACAGCATCACCTCCCAGCTTTGTTAGAGCCTGTGTACCACTTTTGTACTAGAATTTATGTATAACATCATAGCCCCTATCTTAAACTACAAGGTGGCGATAGAAAAAAATGTGGATTTAATGTAGTTTATAGCCACACATAAAGATACCTTTCATCAAACCTTATATTTCTTATTAAATGTAGTGGGAATCTTTTCTTAGATCAGGGACTTACTGGTTTTGCTCCTATTAGGAGCTGCTTTGAAATAATAACCTGCCTTCAGTTTAGAGCTACATGTTTTGTTTACTGATACTGAGAGCTAACTCAAGCTGCATAATTGCTTACCAGAATATCCAATAACCTTTTTGACTGAGTGGGTGTTGTAGGCACAAGAAAATTGTGCAGTAAGCTGTTTGTGTCACTCTGTCTTGTAAAGATGAAGTTCTGCGCAATTTTATTGCCAAAGTTCTGACAAGGAGGGAAATTTTTACTTCTTAAATAAATTTTGAGCTTGCTTCCATATAGTGCATTTCTAAAATTCACATTTAATGTCTTATATGTAAAAATGCACAACAATTTGTATTTAAGCTGAGATGCTTGCAATTTTCACCACGATTTAAGTAACTGATCAATAAATGCTCTGTGGAGGCAGAATGTAATATAAACAGGAAATTAATGGAAATATAAGCTTTTTTTTTTCAGGTTATTGGATGATTTTCAACTGCTACAAATAGAATATGGACCCCCAAGGAAATTTCCTTCTTGAAATTTATTGGTTTTATTTTGGATTTAAAAATGTGCCAAAAAATCCAAGTGTTGCCTTCCCGAGAATCCTATGGAGAGCAGGATAATTATAGACTGTCTGCCAAAGTGCTAATTTTGTCAGTGGAAAAGAGACTCATGTTAACCTTGCTTTTGCTTTGATTCTGCAGAAGCTCTTGAGGACAGCTTAACATGCCAACTCGAGGAGAAGTCCTAAACTTTGCCTGTATATGTATAAGCAAAGCAAGCCCCACAGCTTCTGATGTACACAAGCACACTAGATTCTTTTCCTGCTGGCAGAGGAGAAACCTCATTCCAGTTCTGCATTATTAGACTGTACTTTTCATCTCTGGGCTTTTCTTGTCATATTTTAATATATTTCAGCTACCTAATATGTAGAAGTTGAATAACTTTCATCTTTGACTTCAGTATTTCAAGGATTTTTCATATGGGGATCGGTTTCTGTTCCTGCAATCTGTTTTCCATTAATATTGTATACGCATTAGTTTGCCCTGGCATAGGCTTTCATTTTGTTGTTGTTTGTGTGAATTTGAGATGGCTCATATGAAGAGGGTGTGGGGTGTCTATATTGACAAGACAATGGAGAATTAAGCTACATAGCTTTGAAGACAAGTGGTAGTTGAGGGATTTGAAGTATGACATTTCCTCAAGGATCTCTTGTTTCCCATCTGCTTTGATGCACAGGTGGTACCTTTTGGCAAGATCAATTCAAATCATAGGGTAGAGTGCCATGAGTCTGCTGATGATACTCAGCTATATCACCTACCCCTGTGCTCTGATTTTTTTCCCTGCCCTGCAGTAATCCTTGACGGAGATCTCCAGATGGGTAAATCAGAGCTGCCATGTCCTCAGCCCTGGGAAAACAGAATGCTCACCGAGTTGTTGATCTGAGACAGCATTCTCACTTGTGTGCCCACATACAGAGGGATCTCTGTGGAGGTGCAGTCAGATTAAGAGTCTTGGCATCATTTTAGAAAGTTTCACTTCCCTGCAAAGACTGCTGCCGGGATGTTAGGGAAATGATTCAGCTTTTTTAGTTGAACAGCTTTTATTGCCTGTAAGTTCTTTAAATTTCATTCTGACTTCGGAATAACAAGAGTCGCCCTCCTGCCCATGAGGCTTTATTACTGTAATTCCCAGAGTAGGGCTTGTAGCAGGAATTTCTGCGGTGTGCTCAGAAAACAGTAAACTACAAGCTCATCCCTTCAAGTAACTGTGATTGCCTGATTAATGCCAGTCCTGTACTGATTCACTATAAAGCAGCAAAATTGACTTAATTGACACAGTTGTATTCTTGTTGTTGTTTTTAAGCTCAAAGTTGCCTTGAAAAATCAGCCTAATATGCAGCTTGATACCAGCCACCTTTTGTTTCTCAAAGGCAATGTTCATCAGCTGTTTACTGTGAAACACACGGTGTATGCGCAAGCTTGCACACCTTTGTGTTAATATCCAAAGCCGCCTCAGTTATTACTGCTGATCACTGATGCTGCAATTTTAAGATATATAAATATAAGGAAAAATAACACTGTTTTGAATGCCTGATATATGAATAATTATGCCAGAACTAGCTAGTTAACAAGTAGTTCTATGAGCAGTGTAAATAATGGAGCATGTTTGTAATGGACTCATAGGTACTCTCAAGGGTGGATTCTCATGTGTTTAATAAGAGATGAGCCTATGCCGCTGCCTTTTTCTCAGTGGAAACCCTAATAATCTCTGCCTGCTACCTAGCTGCCTGTTTTCATGAAACTTCATATATGTGATATCTCCACCCCTCTGTGTGATACGGTTGAAATTAGCTAAAAGTTTCAAAATTCTTAGCAAGAGAGAGGCAGGTGAACAAAACCAGAGAGAGCTGACTGCATTAGTATTGTCTCCTTAGGTAAAAGTGACTAATACATAATTTCCCATTACTCTACAAGGACATTTTCAAGAGAATAGTTCTTGCTTTCAGATCATTGTATTCAAGAAAAAAAATACAATATTAGTGTCCAGACATTCAGCAACAAAGGCACTTCCTTGCAATACAAGTAGCAATAGGGAACTGAAACTTGACATATTTTTCCCATAGTCACCATCTCTCCCAGGTTCAGTTTGTCACAGACATCATTCAGGAATGGAAGGCAAAGGAGTTTCGGGAAGTTACAGAGATTATTTTTATATGTTATACATGGATTTGTACCAGTAGTGGAGCAAGAGGGATTGTAATTTTATGAGATGGTTTCCATGGTTTTAAGCCCCATTATCCAGCCTTTTCTTCTTAGGAAGAGGAGGAAGCCTTCTCAAAATGCAGTTGTGATACCCATCCAAATCCAATGAGAAGCCTGGATGCAGGACTAGGTGGGAGGAGAAACCCACAAGAGAATTTAAAACAACAGAATATGGGTGGGAGATAAGGTGGGCTACCAAAATCATGAAACTTTCTCTCTGTGGCTCAGCTTGCCTGTATGATTTCCCTGTACACATGGGAATATTCTTATGGGTCCTAATAATAGTGCTGGATTAATGGGTGAGCACAGACACATTCAAAACATGAAACTGAAATACTTGGTGGGACAGGACATTAGTGTGCTAAGAGTTAGGATTTGCTAAGAGAACATTTCAGGGAGTACAGGGACAAGCAGTGGTGATGGCAGATGAATTTTCAGGTTTTAAGTACCTTCAGTTTTCACTGTGTATACAGTTTTTCATGCAGTAAACCCCATCTGTGAAGCTGCTCATTTTCTACTGCTTATAGCTACTTTACTTGAGTAATATGCTTCATGCTTATAGTATGCTCACCAGTCAACTCCGTTTCTTTCAAAACCCAAGAGAACACTTCGAGGTGTTCTAGGTGTAAAGACTTCCTTTAAATAGTCATAAAACTACAATTGCTGTAAAGTTGGAGATAATCACACCAGTGAATTAGCAAACTTCCAGAAGAGAAGCGTAGAGTTAGTGTCCTTTAAAATTTTGCAAGACAGTTGAGAGGGCAGAGGAGAGGCAAGTGTGGCTACTGGGGCTGAGTTTCACATGAACACAGACTGGCTCGGAGGTACTTTTGTTTGTGGGTGTCTTGGTGAGGTTTGTGCACATGTCAGGATGAGAAAAGCCAGGATTCTGGTGGTGAGCTCTGGCCTTTGAGATTTTTATATATGGACATGCATAGGCATACCAAGAAATGTTTTCTATTCAAGAGCTCATTGAATGTCCTGTGTAGCTATAGGCAGTGATTCAGGACTTTGCCAGCTCCCCAGGACACAGAGCAGATGGGTAAACTGTTCTTATTCCCCCAAACACTCATATGTCACATATTGCCTTTTTCCATTAAGCAATCTGGAGGAAATGCTGTATACCTCTGTATTTTTGCACATAGCCTAGTGAGGCTGGAATGTTTTACTGTAACCTTTGTTCTTCTTAGCAAAAGAAGAATGAAAGCAATTGAATGACATTCAAATAGCATTTTTTTGGTTTGGTTTTTTTGTTCTGTCTTGGTGTCTAAGTATTGAACAAAATTGCTAAGGCTTAGATTCAGCAAAGTATATTATTAATTTTAAGAAGATGCAAAAGTGTTCTGGTTCAACAAAGACCTTCAGTATATGCCTAGTTTTCATAACAGTGGCAGCTTAAAATGTACTGCAGTGCCCTCATGGAGCATTTCATTTATCTTTTATGAACTGTATTTCCTACACAGGCTGGATCTTGTTCTTAAACTGCTTTTGTGTAATAAAACATTTTAAGAGATACTTTTTCCTATAGCAAAA